TGTGTTCCCCCCCCCCACACACACACACACACACACACTTTTAGGATGGTGATTATGCCCTTGCTCCAAAGGCCTCCTCAGCAGGTAGATTCTGCTCTGACCCTTCCTGTAAAGAGTGTCTGTGTTKTGAGTCCAGTCCAGTTTATTGTTCAGGTGAACACCCAGGTACTTATAAGAGTCCACTATCTCAATGTCCACTCCCTGGATGTCAGTGTTGTGGGTCTGCGTCTGTAGAAATCCACCAGCAGCTCCTTGGTTTTAGCAGCACTTATCAGGAGGTGGTTCCGGTTAGGGAGGTGGAGCCCCCATACTGCAGACCAGTGTGTCCAAGACACAGCCCTGTGTCCTCACATACTGTGGGCAGTCAGTGAGGTGGTCCCGTATCCACTGGGACATGTGGGGGTCCACTCCTGAAAGCTCCAGCTTGTCTTTCAGAAGTCCTGGCTGGATGGTGTTGAAAACACTTGAGAAATCAAAGAACATGATCCTAACAGTGCTTCCAGGCTGCTCCAGGTGAGTCAGAGCTTGGTGCTGGAGGTAGATGATGGCATCATCCACCCCTGATGCCAGGCTGGTAGGCAAACTGCAGCAGATCCAATGAAGATGTCACCAGGTGTCACCAGGTGCCTGCTTGAGGACCAGCCTCTCCGGAGTCTTCATCAGAGGCGATGTCAGGCCCACCGACTTGTAGCTGCTGAGGTCCTTCGGGTGATTGGTCTTTGGTACCGGTATCACACAGGAGGTGTAATATTTTAAATAGTACTGCATTTTGTGCTTTTATGTTTTTGTCTTAAATCAAGTTTGTTTGTGACATGCGTTTCTCAGTTTTAAACAGAACAGTAGAAAAATACTGTTCTCTTGTTTTCTGCTATTAAGAAAATGTGTTTATTCACTAAAATGCATTAACAAATATGTTAGAAGACTAGTTTAATTTGGCTGTACTCTCACAAATGGGTAAATATTTTAGCAATTATTCTGCCTTCATGGAGTTCTGTAAACCTCTTTTTGATGCATTTCTGCTCTCCCTCACAGGGAGGCAGTGTTACCTTTTTGTTTGTGGAATTCATGGTGGAAAGAAAGGCGCACACATACACAGCAACATAATGCATCGTTTTTATTAATTGAAAGCAATCAGAAAACAAAATGTAAATTAAGATTAATCAAATGTCTTGAGTGTGTGCTTTTAAACAATTTCTTGGTAACTGTTGACATATTAAAAGTGAAGCCTTTCAGAAGCCTGCATTTGGTATACATAAAAAAAAAATACAAAAAGTTTATTTTCATAAAAGAAAATTGGTTCATCAAAACACAAAGAATAAAGTAACAAACCATACATGTATTGGATGACTTGATCAAATTTAGTATTTATAACCTTTGATTTTATTTTAATACTCTAAAGCAATCAAGTGCAGGTGTTGGTCTGACAGGATCACAGATTTAGAATAACTTGACAACATTTCAGGTATTTGTGTCAGCTCTCTCTGTAATGTTGTCTGAAGGTTTATTTAATGGGATTCAGACCATTTGTAGAGCCTTTTTCATGGTCGACTCGATCCAGTCTTTGAAGTCATATATCTTTGTAAATCTGAATCTTGCTTCCCCATTGATTTCTAAAAAGGAGGACACCACTCCATAAGCCCTGCCATCTTCACAGACCAGTGGACCTCCGGAGTCTCCCTTTAAAACACACAGTACATTGTGATCACTTCTAATGTACTCATTATCAGTTAATATTGTTTGTTTTCATGTCGCAAATACACATACCTGGCCAGGTCCAGTCGTTCCAAAAGAGCAATATGACTTACTCTTTGCACACTGCTCATTATTTTCCAGCGTTACATTAATTTCCATGAGTTTGTCAGACACTAGGTTACTTGTCCATTCAGTTTTTCCCCAGCCAGAGACAAAACATTTTTGAGGCAGCGATCCATCATCATGGTCTGCCAGATCAATGGGTTTCACGTTTTTGGTGAACTCTGCCTTAGTGCTCAACTTTAGAAAACAACATGAAATATTAGTACAAATATAAAATGTTGATTTATTCACAGCACATACAAAATAGTCTTGATTTTTACATTTCTTGCTTTATCTTGTGGTTATTTTTATTACTTTATTCAGCGTGAATGATTCAATGAAAATATCAGATGACAGTAAAACAAAAAGTAAACATTGTGTCTTACCTTAAGAAGCATTATATCATTATTGTATGTCGAGCTGTTGTAACTGTAATGTGGAAATGCTTGTTGAACTGRCATTTTAACCCCGTTACTATTTGTGTTGTGAAGTCCAAGTCTGACTGAATAATTCCTGTGAAGAAAAAAACAAAGCAAAACAAAAAGACATTTCAATCTTAAGTGAAGCTAAGTCAGTTTTTATTAACTGTTCTAAAATGTTTGACACAAATTCAATTTTACATGTAAAACCAATTAAAACTGACTCCATTTGGCAATGTGCAGCAGTCATCACAAAATTCTCGTTCAGCAGGAATCCTCCACAGAAAGTTTTTCCACTATTTGACTTGTGACTCTCTAGAAGCACCATGTACGGCCTGCTATGTTCCTTGGCCTCGTGGCCTCCAATGATTGTTCCTGCATGAGCTGGAGAAAAGTAAGGTGAGAGGAAATAAGAATGCACCTAAATGCAGCACGTTGTTCTGATCTGTTGTTTGTAAAGTGTAAATTACAGTTTCGTCCTGTACTTTACATCAAGTTCACTACACATTTTAAATAAAGAAATCCACAAACAGGTTTATAATGCTGTTAAGATTGAAAGGAATTAAATGTATTATACAGCCTGATAAAAGTGATAAAATAAGTATTACCTTGACCAGGAAGGATAAGCACAGCCATCAGTGCAGCCAGTTTGCAAAGGAGGAACATGATGAGATGACAGTCTAGCTGAGTTAGAGTGAGAACTGATTGACAGTTTCAGACCTACAAACCTGCCTCCTTTTAAAGTGTCAAGCAAGGCTTTCATTCGTATATGCAAATGATATTAAGCTGAAGCACTTTCATTATGAGGACATTCACCTACAGCACATCTTTAGTTAGAAATCACACTGTAATAATTTAGTGTGCATCTTAAATTCCAAACAAATAAATATTTAAATGTGTTCAAACTGTTTGAAGATCAAGATTGTGAGTGACAAAATTATTAAAATGTTACTGGAAAAAAAGTTGCTGAATTAGTAATAACTTAGACATTCATTCTGAAAATGTAGAAAAACTGAGCAGCAACTTGTGGTTATCTTGGTTCAAGGTCAACAAATTTCCATCTTACACACACACACACACACACACACACACACACACACACACACACACACACACACACACACA